TAAGTCTCACTCTCATCAGCCGTTCCTGATTCTACGGGCGGTGTGTAGGTCCTGTCTCTTATACACATCTAGATGTGTATAAGAGACAGCAGCTATAATGACCGTACGTTGTATTCGGGGGAAGAAGGTAGGGGTGCTGATAGGAGCAGACACCTCTGAACTACGACAGTGGAAAAGTAAATCAGAGGAGGACATCTATGGAAGATAAAAAAGCAGCACACACAGGGGCAGACAGACAGACAGACACTCTGTGTGTGTGTGTGTGTGTGTGTGTGTGTGTGTGCTGTCTCTTATACACATCTAGATGTGTATAAGAGACAGGTGCAAGGTACAGTTAAACTTTGCAATTGCATCACTTTGCGCACCCTACACCTGGCCAGAAAGCTGGGTTGTATACATTGCCCAAACTGCAATTCGAAACTGTATCTTGGCCCATACTGCAATTATAACTCATTTTTTCTGTGACTCCCGCGTAGTTTTCCCCAATAAAGAAACAAACGAGTATAAAAAAATTCCGCCTTCAAGTTGATGATAGAAGACTGAAAGGCAGAATAGATCGGAGCATGTCCTTAAAAAAAAAAAAAAAAAAACGGAGGAAAAAAGACACCAAAAGTGTCGGTGTCGGAAAGCTGCAGGTCTGCAGGTCAGAGTCGCCCGCACACGCGTCACATAGCAGCGGCAAGCAATCAGCAGAATACAAACAGAGAGCGAGCCAGACTGACCGTTAAAACTCGAAATCGTAAGAGTGGGGATTAAAAAATCAAAAAAAAAAAAACAGCGAGCCAGACTGAATGCTAAAACTCGAGGTCGTTTTTTTTTTTTTTTTTTTAAAAAAAAAAAAACAAATCCTCGAAGTCGTAGAGTGGAGAGAAAAAAAAAAAAGAGCTCGAAAAGATAAGAAGAATTACACACTGGAGTTGTCATAAAGTCTGCCATAGCCGTGGCTATGGCTCACACCCCACTCCACGCCCTTCTTACGATCGCAGGCCGCCATAGCCGTGGCTATGGCCATCAACCTTAGGAGGGGAGCGCTGGCACTGTTCCCAACTACCGTCTTCACCCGGTAGAACACCCGGTCATTACCGCTGTATTTAGGACAACTTTCAGTCCAGATGCAATAATAATGATCGGGCGTTCTATTCAGGTTGAAGACGGCAGTTTCCGCCTTCTCCCAGTACCAGCCTCGTCAGAGGGTACGACCTTCGAGTTAACGGAAAAAGCAAAAAAAAGAAAAAAAAATGGAAAAAAAAAGAAAAAAAAAGAAAAAAAAAAGAAGAAAGAAAGAAAGAAAGAAAGAAGAGGCAAAATCGACTACAAAAGTAGCCTAGCTCAGGATTACAGCTTTTTTTTTTTTTTTTTTTTTTTTTCCAAAGCTCAAGATTTTACGTGGATTCGTAATCCTGACGTAAACATCACCCTTATGTGCGTGTGGAAGATTTGGCTTAAGCTCGGTACATGGGGCCTACAGTAGTTGCACCTCTCGCCATCACCCGAAATTCTAAATGAATCCGAACACAAAATCTGTCCCGGTGCATTCAGAATGTTGGCGCATCGCGGGTTGTGCAGCGAGGTCAGATGTAATCAATCGGGATGACGAGTCACACACACATAACAAATCAGCCGAAAATAAATAAATAAATAAATAAATAAATA